AGCTGCGCACTGTAAGCCACGCCAAACTGCTCAGCCTCGGCCAGTGCAGCTTACGCGACAAATGAAGAACTCTCAGCGGCGAAAAACGAAGGTGTCGCAGAAAATGGGCAAACGCCACTGCTCTCGCCAGTAGACTAAAGTCGAAGAAATATGTGTGGCCCAGAGCTCACACTCTAATGGTAGAACAACTAAATCATATTCTTCCCATGGCGCACATTTTTTACGACCGTCGAACTGTTTATTGGTGCATACATTCGTAAAAGTATCCCTACCACAATTAAGTGTCACCCAAACATGACGCAGCCTGCAAGGAAACATTTCTATCGGAGAGAGAGAGAGAGATAAATAGAGAGGAAAGGTAGGGAGGTTAACCAAGCTTGGCTCGGTTGGCTACGCTACACTTGGGGTGGGGTAAAAGGGGAATAATAGAACGAAAAGAGACAGAAATTCTATCGGAGGCTTAGCAGTCACCATATCAATGTCCAGGCACCATGTGTACATGTGCCATTATTTAGCTCGGTTTATTTTCTCACATGAGCGTATTTGAACATGTGAATCTGAATAAAATTCTCTGTATAAACGCTGTTTTCGTTATTAAGGAGCAATATGACTTGTGTGTAACGAGTCCTTAATTAGCCATAACAACTACGGCTCGGGTGTTTCTGCAAAATGTTTTGATAAATAATTTTATTGAAAGTAAAGCATTCTGCGTCCTTTTTTGAAGAAGCAAATGCTACACATGATTGAAAGTTTCCGGGCACATATTTTGGTATTTCATGGTAGGGCGTCTAATTGGTGCAACTTCGTGTCACGCAAAAAATAGTTTTCGCTAGTCATTCCCTTGCACAAAATGTCAAGTTTGCTCAGTGTTTTGTAATAGTAAATTACACTGCATGAAAACAATATTTTACGTCTTCAAACGCTTCGCTAGTACTCACTCGGCTTCGAAGAGCTTTTTTTGTCCGCTCCGATGCGAGGCATGATATGTTGGTGCTGATGTCCTTGCTATAAGCAATACCAAAATTTTCATGATTGGGTCCAGTGCATTTACGTAGAAACAGCGCATGAAAACAAGGGACCAGTTAGAAATTGGAGTATTAGGCTGCCTAATCACAGAAATATATTGATCTTTTCCAGCCTACTTCTGCGTGATATATTTCTGACGTGTTGTTCTTATATATATATATATATATTAATTTTATCATCCCCCCCCGTCATTTTTTCGCTTGCACTGAGCACGAATACTTTAGGCGTTTGTGCAAATATACCTTGTCGAAAGTCAATGCTGGTGGCTTTGTCCTCCATTACTGTTCTTGTGTCTTTTTGCTCAGTTTTTATGCCCAGTCTGCCATAGAAACTCGCTCAAGTAACCACTTTAGTCTAGTACAGGGTTAAATATACCAATACAGATCAAATAAATATCGTTTAAAATAAAGCGAGCATTCGAAAGGAAAGCAGTGCACTGATCACCAGAACAACGCAGTCACGTTGAAAAGCATGATCGCGTCATTTATCCGCTCAGAAAAGCCAACTTACCCAGGTCTTTTTTTTGTTTGTGACTGCAGCCAATTTAGGAAAGCCTTGCTGTTCGATCTGGCGTTTAATACGGAAGTGGGAAAGAAACTTGTTTCATCCAAGATAAACTTTTTTTCTGGGTGTAATCAGTATACATGGTCAAAAAACATGGGATTAGGTGAACACAACGGAGATGATCTTGCAAACGTGCCTAAAACGCACGTGCAAACAACTACGCTACTCTATTTATTAATATAAATTGACATCTTACAATTGTGTGTTGGTGCATGCACTTTTGTTTCCCTGCCCGAATGAAATTGTATATCGATAAATAAAAAACAAAAGAACTTCATTCAGAACAAAAAAAAAGACTGTGTTGATTTTCTTTTCAAAACGTTCAACCAACTTCAGTTCACGGCATACACACGCTGGCTCGTCTTTCACGATAGAGGTTACGAAATACCTCAACAAAGCACTTACGGTGTCCGGATGCAAAAACTTGCTTCTAGTATAGGGCTAATTTAGGGAACAAAAACGGCATTACAACTGTGCATAGCTTTCACTATTTCTGGATATTCTGATTACTGTTATCACCTATGCATACCCTGTGTGATGCCTAATGAAGAATAAAAAAATATTTCCGCATGCACAACGGAAATATTCTGTAAAAAGAATTGCGGAGGAACCCTTGTAACCTACAGAAGAAACGATCTTGCAAACGTAAATATTCGATTATAAAGAACACTTACCGGTAAATTTCAGAAAACAGTAGCACTCCTCAATGTGAGCCACTGATGCGGTCTAACAAGCTCGGTCTTTTATTTTGTTTGCCAATTTTTCAAAGAGGACTTGCCTCGCTCTTTACCTTTTTTCGGTAAAAGTTTCATAGGGATTTGGGTTGAACCTGCGACCCTTGGGTGCACGCACGGGTCTGCAGAGATGTCAGACCATTTGCGACTGCCCTTAATAAGACAGTATTAGGTTAATATTGGGGAATGACATTTATTTACTAAAATATACACTCAGAGTTTATTACAAGACTGACAACACACAAACAACACTGCTAAAAGTGGCGCCTTCTGCTGAAAACGCAAAGTTTGTAACAATGATCGGTGCCCACTGCTGCAAAGTTCCTGCTGAAACAGTTGTATTGGCTGTGCGAAGCTGACTAGATAACGTTCCTATACAGTTTGCTCAAGGCAACTGGTTTGTTCACAAAACGAAAGTCACACACACTGTGACGCGGTAGTAATTGCCTTGGTACTTTTATGGCGATGACCACTAACCAAGTAACGGGGCTTTTATCTTTGCATTTATGGTTATGTAAGAAAATGTTTAGGAATTTTATTCAGGCTAAACATTTAAAAGCTTGACTAACGCAAAAAACTTCTCGACTTTTTCACGAAGACTGACTCTTCTTGTAAGAGACCAGCGTGGTAACAATGTCACCACTTGGCTTATGTTCAGACAACGAAAACATACATAAGAACGAATATATAACCCGAGAATCTCATCGCGAATCTCAGCAACAACGTCTTTTTACCTCTATCTGAATGAACCCATTTGATTATTCCTTGGGCATCTACACCATCAAATAGTTTCGTATGCTATGCATTCCTCGGCCACTCACGAGGAAGCTTACAAACTCCATTGAAAAAGCAGCGAATACACAATAGTTCATACTACTGGCAATTACCTGTCTTTAATACAGCGCACACTGACACAGCCATGGCGAGTGATGTTCACCTACTAGAGCAACAGTAAGCGTGCAGGTAATTTCGAAGATCTGGCTGGTGTCTACTTATCTGCACTGCCCGTAAGAAGAACCCTACGTTTGGGTAGCGTTGCAGCACTGAATATTTGCCATAAACGTGACGTTTACTATAAATATAGATGTTTATACACTGTGAAAAAGTAAGATTTACAGCAAACTTCTATGTCACCTGGCACCAATTTAGTGTCATTCATACTTGAAGATGGTGAGCACTCATATTCTCCGCATCGTGTTTCCATTCCTCTCCACTCGGAGCATGCACTTACAAGAGTATAAAATCATGTCACATACCACGAATCGTGTGACATTCATATACAAGACTTGTGGCAGCAGAAAACATGTGATGCAAAACATGTGACAGCACAAAACTCTTCGGCAGCTTGTTTAGAGTTCTGTCAGTAGTGCGGAACATTACCGCGGCACAAATCGTTTTCAGACATGCGGAAAAACGAAAGAAAGAGCTCCGGAAAAGCAGGTCTCCACACCCGTTTTATTGCACTAGAGCGTTTTCCTTCAGTAAATTACTTATAAGGCCACAAAATGTTATGCTATTTTTTTATTTCATTTCTTTTGTGATTTCACGACTGCTTCAGGTTTTTCAAGGCCCTCGTCAGGTGTCATGTACAACAAGTACTCAACAATCTATGCACTGTGTATTACTGCCTGATATCTGTGGATAACGTTACTTGAACGTGGCTTTAACCGCTCTAGAACCAAAACAAATAATATTTTCGAAGCAATATCGTTAAGGTACCTCTATGCAATTCGTCAGTGTCACGTACACACATATGGGATGACATACGTGATAGAGTATACAAATGAAGCCAATAATAGTACACTGTCGTTCCACGTCAATATCCTTTCCGTCATCGCCACCTCATGCATCAAAAGCGGTGGGACCCTCGCACTATTTCCAGTCACAACGTCACTTTGGAGAACATATAAATTGCTTGAACGCCGCAGTAGCACCTTTTCAAGCACTCTATGTATACGCTGGTAACAGTCAGACAAGCACCAGTGATCGCGTGCTAGCGACAACGCGCACATTGCTCACAGTCACACAACGTTCGATGGCGGGCGTTCACTTGGTTTCGCTTTCAAGTTGTGGCTAGTTGTGGATGGTTGGTAAGTTGACGAAACTTGGCAATCCGTGTTCTTCACTTTCTTCTGGCACAAGAACCACTCACTTCACCGTGCTATTCAGACGCGAGTTGCCGAGGATCCTTCGCACGCGTCTCCAATACAAGTTACTGCATCGTTGACTTATGCAGACGCCGTCACAGGACCCGGTACCCAACCGGCACTCCTTCAATCAGCCAAGCACCAAATACTACAGGTCACCACTTCCAGCTAATCCGATACAATTTAGTCTTTGGCAACGTCTCCCATGTTGAGAATGGTTGTGAAATGCTCCGTTCCACTTCTGTAAACTTAAAACGGTCGACAAGAAAAAAATTATCGTCGAAGGAGAATAATGAATCTCGAAACAAGCCGCATTGGCCCGCATCTGACAGGTAATCTTCGGCCAGTACAGCAATTCTAGGCAAATGTTCCGTTAGCAAAAGTCACTCCCATGCCTTGTTTTTTTAGCAATCATTACGTTATGCGAAACCGAACTGTTGAGAGCGGTCGACAGTCTCACAGTCTAGGCAGTGAAATGCCTGCGAAGCAACGCTCATCAAGTCGCGTTGGCACAGACAGCTGCCATTCCGCGCTAGCTCTTGACGATTGCATGCTGAATGTAGACCGGCATGTCGTCCGTCAGTGCTGCCTATCCGCGAGGAACGTCGGAGGTTTCGCTGCGAACGTGAGTCGTGTGGTGCAGGTCGGTGAATCGCGTTCACACAAGCTCATCTTTCAGGGCCACCGGGCCGTAGGAAGCGTTGCTGAAGCGCTTTCCGGTGGCCGAGTAGAGGCGCGTATTTCCCAGCGACGTGGTGGTCGTAGCGAAGCTTCCGCAGCTTCCTCGCTTCGAGTTGGCAACACGGACGTCGCTGAAACGTGACGCGCTCGAGCGACGTCGGCCGCCGCGTTTCAGGGCACGGGCAGTCTTCCAGCGCTCCAGGTGGTGCCGCACAGACTTTCGCACCTGTGCAGTGCAAAGTAACAATGCTTCACGAACTTTGAATGGACAATTCTGCAGTCATGTCGGTCACCTACACGAGAGGGTAATCCCGCAACCATGTGATAGATACACGATCAGTTGAAACAAACATTGATCATACTTCAAGGTATTGTTGCAACAGTACGGCATGCATGTCAAAGTCGAAATAACGTCTATTCAGCGAAATGAAGGTATTCCTAAAGTTTAATAAATAAAGCGAGGAATTTGTTGCGCTGAAAAAGAAAATGTTCTTGTCTCTCTGTCAATAAAATAAGGATGTGACGTCATCGATTGTGCTTGCTTCGCTTGACCAAGTTATACCAGGTGTTACCTGTCAGTGTGAAAAAACAAAACATGCGCAAAACTCCTTCGCAAGAAGCGTATACTTCTCAGGAAGCGTTCATTTTTCGAATAGGTCGAAACTGCAGGTAATATGACTATTATCAAGTCACTTGTATTGTCTTCAATAGTACGATAAGATATACTTTTTTACATATATCAATAGAAAAACTCGATATCTAATCTGACGTTCACTTTGCCGCCTTGCACTTGCAAAAAAGTATAGTAAAAGCTGGTAAATTCGAACTCGGTTAATTCCAAGTTAGAGTTATTTGGAGGTGACTTCTTGATCTTAATACAATCCTATGTATTTCTATTGGGGGAAACTCGTGATAATTCGAACTACTTGGTATCCGCATGGTCAATTCGAACAGACAGCCCCCCGTATCACTTACAGGTGAATGAATTCTCTTGGTTCTTAAAAGCTCCGCTAACCTAATCAATCAAATCACTTGCCACAATCTTCTATTACCGCCTAGTTCACAATGTCGAGTCCACAGGTGGCTTTTTTGGGTTATGCTCGAGTAGTTTGAAACAATATTTGTGAGTTTTAGCACCAGATTTGTTTATTTTAACAATTATAGTCATCCTTGTGTTCGAATTAACGAGCTTTTTTGTATTGAACCTATTCGTGAAATAAACTGAAACTGGCGAATTTTACGTTAGTGAGACCCTAATTGTACCAAAGAGCTTATTTTTCATCAATTGCTTGTCATCCGATATGATTCGCTTGTAATCATAGTTCCATAAAGAAGGTTCTTTGAAATCTGCTGAGGGAAGGCCCACGCTATATTTATTTATTTATTTATTTAAAAATACTGCCAATCCCTTGTCGGGATTTTCGCAGAAAGGACATCGGGAAAACACACAATAATAGCATACAATAAAAACATCCGTAAGTTATACATCGTTTAGGATACGCGTTACATTGATGCTACCAAGTACTCACAATTTCTAACAATCAAATTCAAACAAATTCTAACCAAATTCTAACAACAAAGTTCTAACAGTAATTGTACTATATCCAAATGATTACAGTGTGGAAGAGTCAAAATAACACAGTCTAAAACAATGAATTTTGCAAAGATGACCACAATAGCGCAATATTAGGGTTCCAAGCGCAAATGTTCTTCTTTGTTCTTCAAAATATTTAAAGAATTGCTGCTAGTAATCATAGCTGCTAAGCTGTTCCATTCCCTTATTGATGCTGGGAAGAATGAGTGTTTGAAACATTCTGTACGGAATGCGTATTCTTGTAGCATATCGGGGTGCTTCTTACGGGTGGGTCGTGATTGTTGAAGTGTAATGTACCTGGATGCATCGATGTTGGTTTGCTTATGGCGTAGCTGGTACATGAATCGTAGGCGTGCTAGTCTTGCTCGTTTTTGCAGCGTTAGCATGCCCGCTTCTTCGAGCATTTCAGTTGGTGAGTCTGTTTGCCTAAACTTGTTAAAGATAAATCGAACAGCTTTTCTTTGCACGCCTTCTAGCTTTGCAATATGTTTTTTTGTGTACGGGAACCAAACAATGTTCGCATATTCAAGAACAGATCTCACGTACGTGTTGTAGGCTAACAGTTTAATTTCAGAAGGTGCTAGTCGAAGGCATCGTTTCAGAAAAAAAAATTGCCCGCAGCTTCCCTCGGGGGAACACTGAGGAGGATGCGGACCATATAATTGGTTAACGGGGTGTTAAAGTGCGACTTACTTGGGTCGATGGCTAAATTGGTTAACGTGGTTGTGAAATGGGGTGTTAAATTGCGACTTACTTGGGTCGATGGCTAAATTGGTTAACGTGGTTGTAGGAGGGGGTGTTAAATGAGTGAACACGTACACACGTATGCGAAAGGGCGGCGCTGGTCGAAGGGACATCGATCATTGTGTTTGTGGATTCGTTGGAATTCATTTCACCGCGACCTTGGACGTCGACGCGCCGTACAAACCAACCGACGAGCGGCAACTGAGCGAGCGAGCGCCGACCTTGAGTATATATACAGCACGACGGCGCATGCACTGTCAGCTGTTGAATGTTCTCGAAGCGCGACGCCACATGCGCGTCCACTGGAGAATCAGGAGAATTGTAGATGTCGAACGCGGTGTGTAGAGTAGGAAGGGTGCACAGATGGTGGAGGAGTGAAGCGCGCGCGGTGTGTAGAGGAGGAAGGGATGCACAGATGGTGGAAGAGTGGGCGACGGCGCGACGGCGCATGCGCGCGCGTCAGCTGTCGAATGTTCGAGAAGCGGTGCGGACGGCGCACTACAAGGCGCGAGTATAAGATGCTCCGCATCTAAAAGTCGTTTCAGTGCGGTAGCTGTAACGTTAGAAACGTGGGTATCTCATCTCAGATCGCTAGTAAAGGTGAGGCCAAGGTACTTATGATGACTTGTTCTAGGAAGTGGGATACTATTGATGGTATATGAGAACTCTGACCATTCTCTTTTTCTTGTTACTGTCATTATAGCTGATTTTTTAACATTAGGTATCATTTACCAATCTGAACACCAGTTTGATACTATTTCAAGGGCTTTGTTTAAGGCAAGATGATATTCTGCAGAGTTTATTTCATGATAAATTATACAATCATCCGCGAAAAGTCTGACGTGGACGGGAATTTGACAGGGTAGGTCATTGATAAAAATTAGGAATAAGGTCGGAGCAAGAACACAACCCTGGGGAATATCATTGACATGGTGCCACTTCCTGGCCATCTAGATCGATGACGTGTAGGCATCTTCCTATTTGATCTACCGCTCACCAAATCGAAATGCGAGCTGTACATGACCAATGGTAATCTGTCCACAATTCTTGTAGCAGGTTATCAGCACCCTCGAGTTGAACACAGAGATGGCAAAACCATATATAGAGCTCCGTCACAATTAGAGAAGTTATTGCTTAGCACTTTTTTTTTCTTTTTGGTAATGTCATTCGACCAGCAGTGGAGTGCAAGAAACAAAAACTTGAGAGGCCTGCGCAGAACGTGCATCACAGTCACAGCGAAACCTGGGAATGCGGCCTTTCAGAGCCTTTTCCAGGCCCTCTTTGGGTAACCGCTACAAACACACTTGCAGTGTACCCACTACACCATATATAGCCATAATTTTTGTGTAGTAGGCAGGAATACCCTGCACCGTTCTTCGGAAAAGTGCGGTACCCTCTAAGCACTTGCAAAATTTTTGTGCACTTCTTCAGTGCTGTGGCTGATGACTTTGAAAGCTTGCTGACTGAGGCTTTCTTTTCTATATGTATATATTAGATCGAGCTCCCTAATTACTACCTTATTTCAAATCTTTGTCATATAACCTTTATTACTGTAAAGCTTTATACTGTTCAATAAACCACTCAATCGTTGGGTCCCCCTCCAGTTGATCTGCCCAGTACAAAGAAGCTTTAGTACTCGGTTGGTCCTATCGGGTGACCTATGCCTTACGCGATTCGCATTGCTGTGAGGCCCGGTTGTTAATTTACTGTTGAAAAGCGCTTTAATAACCATAGTAACGCGATTCCTTTCCTGACATCAAGACTGCGTAAGGCCAGATTGGAACGAAGTTTCAGGCACCGGCGTAGCTCAGTGTTCAATAAGTAATAAAAAACGTCATAGCTCTGTGGTAGAATACCCGGCTGGCACGCACATGACCCATGTCTGAATCTTCGTGTCTCCTTGTGTTTTCTATTTACTTAGGTTTTTTTTTCTTATTTCGCTTCATAGTGGTTACGGAAACCGGCGGCGGCGGACAACCCCGGCTCATGCGACCCTTTGTGATCTCATAACATCTTTCACTATAAAGGGGCCATGATAAGTGTAGCTGACTGGGATAGAGTACTTGCTTGCGTACACAGCGTGCGGAAAAGAAAACCAAACAATGTTGACTGCTTCTTTACCGGCAACTTTTATCATGCGCTACGTGTTCTTGTGTTTACGCCGACACGTAGTAAATTTTGTTTCTATTGAATATTTGAAGAAATCTATACTCACCTCGCCATTCAGGAAGCAGTAGAGTACAGCGACGTTGAAACCCTGCGTATAAACGGCATAGCATTACACACAAACATATACGAGGGCAGACACGAATGTGCTCGTTATCTTTATTGCAATGCATTTTCTGACGACTGCTCAGAGTCAGTAGTGCCCTGGTTGTGTTAGCGCTAACTTTCTTGTAGATTAGTGCTAATTAGACAGATAAATTCAGTCTGGTAGATTGTTAGAGACAAGAAAAGGTAAGGAGTTACATTATTAAAGTATGAACCATCGCCCCGAAGGGAATCATAATGGGATGCGAAGCAGCAGCGATGCGCACGCCCTTGACCCGGCTGAAACAGATGGACGTAGACGCGGGTGCTGGAAGAATGGTTTAAAGCAAACCTAGGTGTAGCATGTACTCGAGTAAACGTTTCTGTGAAACGCAATGACAAGGGAGGCGTATTAGGTTTCGTTTAAGTTTCATGGCAGATGAACGAGCGGAAAGAGTGGTTCCACTCGATTTGCGCTCGAACTTTGCGAGCGGTGGAGAGGGTGAAGCGAGCGAGATTACACGCGGCAAGCGGCTACAGGTTTGGGAGAGAGTGAAGTCAACGTGCGCGCATTGCGAGGGAAGGCATGACCTACTTGGTACCGCGCTAGCACCTTCGGCCACGGGAATGTGGTGTCGACGGAGGGACAGAGTTACGTGAATAGTTCAAGGAGCTGTTTCTCATATAATATGAGAAAAATAACAAAATTCATCAACAAAGTGCGTTCTTCGTAAGCCTGTCAACAGGCAATCATACATCACAAAGTGAAGGGACAACACATTTTTCCAGAGGTGTTAACGTGTTTGGTTCAATCATGCACTCGATGGCAGAAACACGATATTCACAGAACACTAACATGCGCAACATGTATTATTCAAAATAACTGATAACGGTGCCAAGAAAACGACATGGGACGTTATTTGTAGCAATTCTAACATGAATGTGAAGAAATAAAAGTGCAAAAAAGATAACTTGCCGCTAGCAGGAACCAAACTTGTGACCTTCGAATACAACATCCGATGCTCTACCAACTAAGCTACGTCGGCAGGCAATCTCCCATTCACCTGAATATGGTACGTGTTGCCCTTTAAACCTGGAAGCGTTAGTCAGCGCCACAAGTAGCTATGAGGGTGAGTGTGGAAGACTATTTTTCTGCCTGTTGGTGTCATCCAGCACCGGGTTTTATTATGAGCTGTCAGCTGACTAATGTTTCCTCACGTACTATTGAACGCATCAACTCTGCAAGAACCAGAGCCTCACTATGAAAGAAGAAAGTGAATGCCGATTTTGAGAGATTCATTTCGCTATGTGAGACACAATTTTATTAATAACTAACGGATAATGATGACAAGCAATGTATAGGAGATCCTACTAGGGGTAAATTTAATGTAAATGGCGAGAATAAATTAGAATAAAAGTTGGCTTTTCATTTATTCTTTCTCAAATAATTTGTCTTCCTGGTTTCTGCACAGGTAAATTTTGTTATCAACCTCGACCATGGACAGGGCTGTGCGTACTTTCTTCGAATAAAAGTATACTGCAAATACATTCACACAATGACATCTTTGATAATGTGACAGCATTTGAAAAGTGCGCACACGGATAGCCTCACTTGTGTGAACAGCAGCGTAATCTGCAGATAGGTGAATATTACTCTGGCTGTCTTGTGCGTAGGTGTCCAAATAACGAGAATGTAGGTGACACCGAGAAGTGGCAAAAGGACGAGTAGAGCTTTGGCAGCCTTCCTGCATTCGAGTAATAGAAGGAGAAACAAGACCAAGCACAAAAACCATGATGCCAGCTTACAGACATCATCATCAAAGGTCGACGACAACGTGAAATATATCCTTCGATACGCGAGGCTTGTACATTTATTTTCATGTTTCCAGTGCAATAGCGTATGCGTAAACTACGACACCTGCAGAGACCTTTTGGATTACTGCGAAGCCCAGGAGGGAGTTAGTGTAGAAAGTTCAGCCGCTAAAAAATTCTCAGTTCCACTGACCGACAAACCTTCGGATGAAAAGGCACGACAAACTTGTCGAATATTCCCTGTTACTGCTCATAAATAATGGGAAGACTTCACTGTTACTATTCAGTACGTAAATACTGATTGGTTGCGGGTATTAAAATAACTCTTTTGAACACTTATTCATCCAAGCGGTGTAGTAAAAAGGAATCACTGAAATACACTGTTGTCACTCATATACACGCCGTCGTTACTCAGATGGCCTGTCAAGAAAAAAATACTACATGACACTGCTAGTTGTACGTTTTCAAAACTTTAGGCAAGACAAAGCTCGTAAAAGGCAATTCTTTGTAGGTTGTTCATCTACTTGGTGTCGCTGGTGTACATACTGGTATACCAACAAACAAGAGGTGGAGAGCGATGGTTACAACACAATGGGCAGTGGTACATACGGCATAATTTTTCTCACATTGCTATAAAGCAACAAAAATTATTCGAAGCAAGCAGCCAAATATGAGCATTATTACTTGTCGTGCGAAGCACACATGACTATTCACCTCGTGAAGCATTCTCCGAAGGACTTCCAAACTAAGAGCGAATAACTACATGCGAAAGAGCAGATGCAGTCAGTCGATTTGTGCAGTTAGTCGCCAGAGTAAGCATTTGCTATGAAAAATGCAAGGCTGGCTAGTTATTTCAAAGCTAGCTACTTTACTTGGTTAGGCATTCTTGTCAGTGAAAAGGTGATGTCCACAATGCAATGATTCATGCAGACTGCTCGTTAGTGCACCCCAGTTCATTGTTAATATTGTCGTCGACGAAATCTAGCCACTTGCCTTGCCGTTTTACGGTTAGAGGGGCGTGCATTGACCCACGGTGGAGTTGACTGCCTAGATGTTTAGGAAACAAATCAGACGAGAACTTTGCATAAAGACATATACATTAAAGTTCACGAACACTTGTTTGATGCCTTAGTATTCGAAGCATGAATAACATACAAAACGATCAATTCATGCAGTCGCATTCTCATAACGCATTTCTGTTATCCACATGCATTTTAAAAAGTAATGTCTAGGATGTGGATCTTTGATAAAGCACGCACTTAAAAATAACAACCAGTATATAACTATTTTCCGCAATCAACCCACCTTTTATGCTGGCGGTAAGTGCTACAAAATTGTCAGTACATAACATATATTTATGGCAGCGTAGTTGTTCTTCACGGAATTTGTATTGCAAAAGGTTTTCTAATTACAGGCATGCGGCTTGATATCTTGCTGTCATATGTAAGCACACGGCTGCCGATTGCCTAAAAGTAATTGCGCGCGTATGAGCTGCAAATGGTATGATGCACGTGCTGAAGAGATAATAAAACAGGAAGACGTGAAAAGCTTAAGAATCTCACATATGAGGTATTGGCCTTGGGTAAAGATAATGCTCAATAAAAAGGAGTTATGCATGCGGCTCATTAAATGCGTCCTGAACGAACCGGAAGAACGCAAAAATTACCAGTTTCTTGTTCGCTAGATCCCTGACGACGTAGTCATTGACGGGCGATTTTTTCTTCTCAGTAACTCCACTAGCACTACAAATACAAATACCGTTATCGGAGCATCAAATTTCGAAGTTAGTGGAAAATCACACGTGATGCCTGCAGTTAAGAGTTATAGTTATGTTACCTCGCACACTGTGTCAGGTGGCATTGACGTAACTGGCAATCTATAATATACTGGCACATTAGTGACGCTTACTTGAAGTCGTTTTAGTATAAACGCTACATAATACACCCCTCTTCGGGCTGTCGAAAACAAAGCTAAAATTGCATGAGTATCTGCTTCACAATGACAATTCAATGAGGGCATGACAAAATCACACTGCCTCTTTGCCTTGCACAGCTCGTCCACATGTGCTAAACCCTCCCCCCTCACTCTAACCTCACCAGAGCACCAAGTGAGATAATATTCACCTAATGTATTCCCCATATAGGCAGGCACAAAGGTAAGCTTGACAAGTACACAAAGCCTGAAAGGAGTGGTTCGGGTTCTGTCTAATGTTGAATGGAAACCTCGATAAATGTGAGGGTTTGCAGTTTTATGAACTGCTGGGCATGCGTGCTACATTCGCGTCTGTGCGCGCTGCTGAACTACTTCGCTTTTTTTTCCTTATTTTCTTCTCTGTTCTTTTCCCCCTTCCGCCCCTGTAGACTAGCGAACCGGGTGCATTCTGGCTAACCTGAACATGACCGGATGGCGGAGAAGTTTAGACAAGCAGATGTAAAGAAGACACGTAAAACACGAAAAAGCGCACAACTCGCAACCTTTTCATGTCTGCGCTTTTCCGTGTCTAACGTATCTTCTTCGCCCCTGTCTAAACATTTGTGCCATAAATTCATGTTTAGCTACGCACCAACTATCCCGACAGCAAACGTTATTAGGCTGGTTAACCTTCGAGCTTTCCATTTCTCTTCTCTCTCTCCCTCGCTCTCTCTCACGTTTTTCTCTATCTTTCTCTCAATATGCGTAGATCTAGCTGCACGCAGTGTAGTGTCAGATGTTTCTCGCAACCTACTTTTTTTAGGGGCTAGGCTCCTTACGCCGTGGGTCGTATGCTTCGTGTCGTCGTAGTCATCGTCGTAGCCAGTTGCATTGCTTTGCATGTCGATAAAAAAAAGGTGTCACAGCATATCCACGGAGTGAATGAGTGGGGCGAAGCATCCTTCAGCCCGTGTGTCCGTCCGTCTGTGTGTCTATTCGTGCGTTCGTTCGTCCATCCGTGCGTCTGCCCGTTTGTGCGTCCGTGCGTTCGTTGGTACGTACATCCATTCATTGATCCGTCTGTCTGTCCATTCGTCCATGCGTCCGGCCGTGCTTCACCACAATCGTCATCAGTCACCTCGTGAATATCATGTGATTTTTTCAATGCCTAATTGGCTAAATCACTATAGCTTAGGTTGGCGCTTTTGCCCGTACCCGACTAGTGAAAGTAAAGTTTTATTAACGAATTGCTCAGTTACATATGGGTATGCCTGTTTTCTCGCGGGCGGCGCACATTTGCTCCTGTCCCCTCATGAAATGCTTTCACTACAGAAAGAACGCATCTCTGAGGTGCTGGATTCCCCACGAGATATTTTGGGAAGTCACCGCCGTGATAAAATGTAACACGTGATCTTGTTGTAGCTTCACCTGATGGCGAGAATGCGTGGCTTTTCGTTTATTGCTCTGTACACATCGTCGCGCCAGATAAAGTCACGCACAAGCGATCCATTATCGCACACAGTGCCCCGAATGTACCTTCATTCAGGAGACATGAACCGTGAGCGAAGCAGGTTTGCTTTCACGGCCGGGGCAAACTTTACTCGCTCGTTGTCCCGGCGTGATCTGTCGAACACCGCGGATTCCGTATCCGTCGAGTTACAATTACGTGATGTCAACTGGACGATTCGACTGGCTCACTGCGTTTAAGGTGCAAATAAAGGAAGTCTAGATTGCTGCGGTCGATAGTGTCCTTAACTGCGCTGTGGTGTACGAAGGACGCCGCAACAATTCATCATCGTATAAGCTGTAAACTACATTTTTGACCAATACTTACTAAAAGCACCAAATGTGCACCATTTCAATTGAACGCGCATTGATTGTGTTTCGAGCTGTAACAAAAACACGAACGACGGGCACCTAGGCAGGGCATCGAACCGGTCACCTCTTGCTACGTTTACCACTACGCCGAACAACATACGTTGCTCAGACGGTTGACGGCAAGCCATTCATACACACCATGTACCGTTGGCCGGCATCACAGCTCGTTACTTCAGTGTGTTTTTGTCACCAGTAGCAAGATGGTGCGAGGACCGCACGTTCGGCACGCGAGCTCTAGGACCGTCAGCCCAAGCCATCCCGCGTGCTCCTACGAGCGTGCACCTCCACGTGGCGTGCTCAAGTTGCGTATAGATGTTCTCTGGCGTGGTCGTTCACTGGTGCACAAGCTTATCTCGGGATTCGGGGTGCTTTCTACCACTTGTGCTTCCACCACAAGTTTTTTTTTTCAAATTACAGGGCCAGTAAACGGACTCCACAACGCGCAGGAAAAGTTCGCGCGTATTTTCTGTGCGTGACAAAGTTTCTTCCACGCGCAGAGACGTAAACTTGGCGATTGGCAACGTGACGCAGCACGCCGCTCATCGATTGGTCTAGAGTAGGTCTCAATAAAAAGTAATGAAGTAACGTCACCGATCGCCGAGTTGACGTGACTGTGCGTAGAAGGAGGTTAGTCGGGCGTACGAAATATGCGCGACCTTTTTTGGAAGGTGGAAAAAAGTGGAAGCCCGTTGACTGGTCTTTTTAATTGAAGAGTGCATGTAGGTCAAATCACTGAATGAAGCGTTTAAGAAAGGAGCGTGTTTAAAAGTCACTTCGTTTAAGAAAGGAGTGCGCTGCTCACACACAATGAATTAAGAATTGTGACACTTGCTTGCGCGTGTCCTGTGTATACTTGAGCGTTCGTTTCATCTTTCTGTTTGAGCAGCAGGCTTTACGTTTTGAGCTGTGACAGTTCTCTGCCCGTGCTCGTACTCTATTTGTTCAATTCGTGCAAGTTTTCTGCGTGCGGTTCACGATGCAAGTTTCAAGCTGCTTGTCGTTCTTCGCGTCGCATTGCGATTTTGTTGCTGTAGCACTTATTCATTCGCGGCAAAGCAATTCACAATAAACACTCAACCTCTGTGAAGACCCGTCTTGCTTTCGTGTAAAACTGTTTCTTGAAAAAAAAAGCAGGCAAGTTTTT